TCAGCTACGTGGTTGCGTTCGCATGTAAATGAAAGCTGATCAAAAGTCGTTTGACTGATGTCCTAAAAATAGTAACTTTTTACTTAGCCCTAAACAGACCAGAAAATCAACTGGCAAGGTCGAGACGGTGAAAAACGAGTAGGATTAAGGTAACTGACGCCTGCCAGTCGTTATTAGGTACTTTTTCTACCTTCCGTCGCTGTGTAGTATTTGGGCGAATGTTACATCGATTTCCGTTTTTCGAAAGTTCAATGTCCGAATCCTAATTCTTTGTTTTTCAATGCCCGACTGCAATGAAATTGTGTTACTGTTTCTCAACTAAGCGCTCAGAACGGGAAAGTTCGCTTAATATAAGGACAGAACTGCTTTCGAAAGACGCGTTTCAATTGCTTACGATCTGAAGAGTCGTGCATGCCAGATAGAACTAAATGAAGCAAAAACGGGTCTGCAGCGATCCTTTTAGAATTTTCCAACGCGATAATTAACTTGGCTTCAGGTAACTTCAGAGTATCGAGGATGTTCTCAATAGCTTGTTTGTCATTGAATTGCCGAGCATCATGGAATCTTTTGTCGCTTTCTTTTATACCGATAACTTTGACCCTGTTCTTAAGCGAGTCATCAAATGGCGCATTTTGCTGAGTAGCACTCGATGTTGATACTTGAGGACCAACAGTTTTAGCCTCAACTGTCTTCATTGTAGAATTGAGGCGTTTAAGTTTTTTGGTTAGCTTTCCCATAGAATCAGATTAACACATAATAAGTGACCTATCTTGTCTTTTTGTGTAACAATTTGTGCAATACCAGCAAGTTGTAGTGAGTGAGTCTGCAGTAGTTGTAGTTGCGGGTCAGAAATGTTGACGCATGCCCTGTGAAACCAGCAGCTGCATTGGTTTTAATGACTTACCTATTTAATCCGGGTCTGGAAATGCCAGTTTTTCTCATCTGCACTAAGTTTTGCTTCGCAATGAATTCTCGACTAAGCGGAGTAAAAAAGTTAATCATTCGACGTAACACTTTTTCAGCCAAAAAATTGGAAACAATCAGTTTGAAAACTTCACTAATCTTGGACTTTCTTACTTTTTTCACACGAAGTAAAAAACTTAGTGCAGATGAGGAAATCTGGAATTTTCAGACCCGTGTTACACTGGTAAGTCTTTGAAACCTAACACCGATAGTTTCATAGAGGGTAGTTCTGATCATTTGCTCTCGGTCTATGCAAAAATGTTACTGAATTTTGAAGGAATCATTGTATAAAATAGACATTGAGAACAGGCATTTTAGAGAGTAAAATCTTGAACTTGCGCTTAGTTTTGTCCACTAGTGTATATTTATTTTTAAAGTGTTTAATGCTATAATTTTTTGAAGTGGATCCAAGCAAATTTTTTGGCTATCTTGAACCAAAAAAATTTTCGGCTATCCGGGAACGATTTTCTTTTTTCGGCTATCCGGGAATGATTTTTTTTTCGGTTTTCCGGGTATTCGGCTCCGTGAAATGCCACCGTTTTATTTTGATTTATTCATTTTATTCATCAATTTGTATTTGTAACTCCCCTTGGAGTAGTTAAGCCTCTCCCCCCCCCCTCTCTCTCTTCTATTACGAAAGTGGATCCATTGAATAGGATCAAAGAGCACACTTGTCTATAAACAAAATAAAAATTAAGAGTTGAAGTTTGATATTTCGAGCGCCTCGGCAACGCATGCAGCATTTCCCCGTTGGACGGCGATGCCGATACGCTGTTTTAGAAAGGCGAACGATCTCTTTTCTCCCGTCGCCAGGGCAATTCTATTAGCGATTGCTGCTAGAGTTTTGTACGAGTCTTCCCTGATACCTCCGAGGTTCTCCACTGCAACTGGTTCAAATAAACACGATCTCGGCAGGTTTGAGTAGTGGTTCCGCTTACGCACCTCTGCTTGGTTGGCAACCGATGGACCGTCTTGGAGCCCGGTGGCGACGTTAGATGCCGCTAACCGGCTCACGCAGGTAAAGTCCCAGGCCAAAACAGCTCCGTTCATCCACGGTACTAGCGTTGCTCCATCGGGCCTCTTACCGTCGTCTCGCAGCATCCCAACTGGTTCCAGTTTTGATGGTACACCAGCTGACGTGAAGGCATCTCTAATTATGTTATTACCAAGTTGATGTCTGACAAACCTGCTCTTAATTTTAGGGCAAACCAGAGGGTGATTGCCGAATTTATCGCAGCTGGTGCCACATGCACAAGTGCATGTTGTGAGAACTGGGGCACCTAAGCGGAGTCCGACGGCAATGCGGAAAGCCTCATCAGTAAGCAGAAGACCCAGGCTGTCTGACGGAAGGGCTGCAAGCCAGTCACCTGCTCCAGGGGCTGAGCAACCTTTTAGTCTTGCGACATCCGTGTCAGAGTTGTAATTGGCGGATAATATAATTTTCTTCTGTTGCAAAACTGGGTTGTACCACGACTTTTGCTGGTGTGGTGTTGTGTTAACAAACGCGTCGGAAAGACCGGTCTTGGCCTTCCAAAGGTCTAAAGCTTTGTTTAGAAAGACAGAGGGAGAGTCTGTTGAAGTCAGCCGTGCAACAGCGTTATTCGTGGCAAAAACAGACGCTAAATAGGCGGAGCTGGACAAATCACACGGTGATTGGATGCCTAGGCCACCCATTTTACAGGTTAAAGATGCTTGATTCCATTCACGATCCTTAATGAGGACATTGCTGATTTTCTGTACCGCCTGTCTGATGTCAGAGGTTATTTGTTGCACTATGTCGGGGAATGAGAATGTTGGAGCAGTTCTAAACAAGTACATCAACCTAGGCATAGCGAAACAATGGCGAAGCAAATAAAAGGCAACATGTGATGGTAGATAGTCAAGGTTGTCACAGAGGGTGTTCATTTTGGCTCTTTTCTTTTCCAGGGCTATCTCTAGCGCTTTGTGGCCTAATGGGCTGCCTAATAAGTCGGCGTCATCTCTGCCTACAATGATAATGCCCGGGCACACCGCCTGGAAAGCTTGTATGATTTCTTTTTTCTGTGCTTCACTCTTCGAGAAAACAGTGAGCTCACACTTAGTGTCGTTAAGCTTCAGTCCGAGGATTTCAGATGCTTCTTTGAAGGCGATGAAGTCTTTGAGAACTATCTTCCAGTTGTCTCCTGCACTTATGTCATCCATAAAACCTGCTTTAAAGCGAGAAATGATGGCACGTAGACATTTGTGAACACTGAGGCAGAACCCAAAAGAGGCTATCGGATCGCCTTGTTGGAAACCTTCTCTGGAAAAGAGGACATGGGGATCATAAATAAGAAAACTGGGCCTTTCGTAGCACATGTTGTAGAAAGGAAGTAGCTCAGGGCAGTGTTCTTGAAACACGAGTGCTATCTTGTCACGGCGTATAGTATTGAACGCATTGCTGAAATCTAACTTTAGAAAGACGTCACTGTCGTTGGCGTTTTCAAAGAAGATTCTTGCAGCATGGACGGCAGTTTCAGCACCGTTTTTAGCACCAGCCCCCATCTGAAAAGGTGCGAAGAAGTCTAAGAACCGTTTAGTTTCAATCTGACCTTCGCACTTGCCTACTACTCTGCGAAGGGTTTCGCCTACAGCGATGGGTCTAAGATCACCTGCTTTCTTCGACAGTGTGGTAAGGTTAGCAGAGGCAAAAACAGGACGAACGAACTCAGGGGCTTTGCCAGCAAGCATAAGATTGACAAAGTCTCCTAACGTGTTCAAAAGAACGTTTCCGGCATCGGTGGCAGCGGAGGATAGCGAATCTTTGAGATGTTGTGGTCGTAGACCACTTGGTCCTCCCGCTGAGCCAGTGGCGAAGCTCTGCACGGCACTGAGCACGAGAGAGCCGGAGACTTCCAACGGTTGCTCCTGTGTGACCGGGAAGGCTTGTCTATCTGGGTGTTCGGGAGGATGTTTCAGTTCCAGTAGTTTCATATTCTCGTCGCTTGGCAGAACTACTCCCTTGTCAGAAGACGCAATTCTAACCGCAGCCTTGATGTTGCCTTCATTAATTTTCTCACAGATAAGTTTTGAGAGTCTTTCCTTGTCTGGCATGACATTGTTACGTGGTCTGGGTTTCGACTCCACAGGGCGCACAACCGCTTCGTTGAGAAACACGTCAATTTGTCGCTTTACAAAGGTTGCCAGGTTGGTTTTCTTTGCTGATCCGGCACGAACAGGGGCTTTCAGACATCGGTGGGCAATGGTAAACACATTGAGCCATGCTGTTTTGCTATCAGTGTCATTAATGACAGCCCGCAGAGCAGTGTTAACAGCATGTGAGAAGTGTATCCTTGCAGCCTTCGGAACATACTTGAGTGTCTTACATTTAAACGCCTTGATGACGTTGATGAAATCATTGGCCGTGAATGAGGTGGCATCTATTGGGGCATTGTTAGGCTCAGTGTCTGATACTGGGACGGGAAGTTTATTAGAGAAAATGCACCTGTTGTTCACCGGTCCGTGTACACGGAAGCGTCCACTCTGATGTGTTGCGATAGACTTACTACAGCCAGGACAGATGCCTCTCTTCTTCGTGTTGCATCTGCATTGGGGGCAGCTGTAGTTGTACTGCGAAGCTTCTTCCAGATTGGCCAAACCAGCGCATATCACATGTGCCCAGCAATCGCATATCTCGCACTGTACCCACTGCAACATGTTCTCGTCTTTTGCAATGCATGGTGAGAAAAGACACTCGTTAAGTTTGGGGCCACCACGGCTGCCCCGTCTCCGTCTCATTCCCATAGTCTAACGGGTCTGAAACTATTTAGTAAGTTTATCACAACAATTAGGCTAATTTTTGGAGCTCTCTTCTATTGTATTGTCATGTTTTTGTTTCAAAACTAGCTTTAGTCGTTTTAATAGATTTAGTTTTTTCGACCTCTGCGATTTTTTTTTGTTTTGTATCGCAAGTGGTGCGAAGCTCTGCTTCGACTCTGTATTTCATTTGCAGAAAAATTTGATTACCGTTCGACCCTCGTCGTTTTTTCTTTTTATTGTTATAAAACCATTCAAGATCGGAAAATGGAAGAGCCGCAGCCACATTTATGTGATATATGCTTGAAAACACGCTCGCAATACAAGTGCCCTAAATGCAATTGGGAGTACTGCTCCGTAAAATGCTATAGAGATGAAAAACATTCGGACTGCTCGGAGAGCTTTTACAGAGAAGAGATATTTTTGGAGCTTGACTCAAGAGAAGACGGAGATGACCTTAAAAAAGTTCTCGATGAAATATCTCATCTAGATATTGGAGAAACCAGCAGTGAAAATACAGATGAAACATGCTCAGAAATAATAGATCTTGACAGCGGTAATATTTTCGACCAACTCACTGAGAAACAGCAAAATGCTTTCAACGAAATACTGCGAACCAATCGAGGTTCTTTGATCGTTGATCTGTTGGTGCCATGGTGGAGGACTGATGAATCAAAAAACACTGATTCTTGCCCTAGCATGATCAAGTCACGCGATTTGTCTCTAATTTTTACTGGAAGTCCTTCGAGTACAATGGTTTTTCGATCTCTAAATGTGGCGTTTGTGTACTGTTTTTGTTACCGACTTTATAATGCAGATTTTTCCGACCTCGCGGATGAAGTTGCTGCTTTTCTCTACGAGTGCACGATTTTTGGAGATGATAAAAATCTACATTTTGAAAATACGGATTTCTGTATCTGGTCAACGATTTACAAGATTCAGTGTAAATCCCAGTCTCATTTGAAAATGGTACCAATAAAACTGTTGTTGGAGGATACAATGCTTGTTTTGGAATCTTTGGAAAACCGAAACGCCATGTTTTCGCATATTTTCCAAATCATCGACGGTTGGAAAGGCGGCGCCCTAACTAAATCACAATCCAAAAAAGCAATGATGTCCTGCAAGTTTTATCTTTCGTGGTTGGATTCACATCACGCAGGTCCAAAAGTTTGGCATAATTTGATTGCAGAACTTCGAATATTTTTTGCGAATTATTTAACTATGCAATATGCTATTCCAGAACACATTCTGCAAAAACTTAGGCACAACGTGAACTCTCAAACTTCAAGCAAAATTGAAGAACTCTAATAAGAAGCGATGATTTGAAACACAGATATAATTAAAATATGACACCAATTGTCATCTGTAAGCAAATTTACCTTTTCAGACGACCCTGAGTCATAACTTTTCTTAACTATTGTTGCGATTATCAAGGATTGTTCGGACAGCTAGTGCAACTTTGTTCAAAGAATTTTCACAAAAAGTTGTTTTTATATTAAGGTCGATATCAATGAGTGAAATTGTTGTCCATTTGGCGCTGAGGTAACGCCAATGCCCGGAGTGACAAAGGCATGGGGTTTGAGTTTGATTGGAATCTGCACTTTTGGCTAACATGAAATTTTCTCTTTTAGAAGTTCAATTTTTGGACTATCGCGTTTATGCCAGCTTACATCTCGCGGCACAGTTTTTTGTGTAGGTTCAGTTATTTTAAGCATTTGAGAATGCCATTCAAATGTCCCCTAGAGTACGGGTTATTGAGCTCTAAGAATTCTGATTTTTTTAAGCAATAAAAAAGATACGTTTTTTAGTCCTTGCGATAATTTATACTTTTGATATGACGATTCATTTTGCACATAATGATAGTATTTAACAGTAAACTGATGGCGTACAGGTTACGTGTTAGACTTTTATGACAAAGGTAGATAATTCGAGTCCTTTGTTACAGTTTTTCGGATATTTTTTATTGGTTTGAAAATGAGATTTTGGTCGGTTCCTTGTTTTTCGGCTCCTATAGGTTTTGTTTCCGAGATCTTGAAAATTGTTTCCGTGTTTCATGAAACCTTAGGTGATGGAATTGCACCAGCTGAAGCGCATTTTTTTGAACAGCTGAAGCGCAACTTTTCTGTGTTATTCGAAGGTATCTCATCTCATCTGATTACAAAATCAAACAAGAATAGCCGGTTACTGTGTAAGTAGCACAGAATGTGATCACCATAATCTTAAAAAATACAACAGAAATGTTTTTTTTTAAACAAAATAGTCTCGTTTTTTTTCTGCGTGGCATGATGAAAAGATCTGAACGAAAAACTAGGAACTTAATCGTATTCGACATTCATAGTAAAATAGGCAAATTGGATAACAGATTCCCAAATTGGCGCTAAGTTGGCTGGAATAAAACCAAATTTTCACTGAACACAGATTAGCTATTGTAATTTTCCTTGCAGAAATAAGTCAGATCGCTCGCTTTTATCGCTCGAAATTAGACAAAATTTTTTTTTTAAATCCAACCTGTTTTTTTTCGACACTAGGAAAATTTCTGGAAAATTTAATATGTCATTCGAATCACGACCGAATGAAAGCGTTTCACTATGATATATCACTCAACTCTCTCCGATGGTTATTTGTGCTAGCTGATTCTGCGTGGAAAGCAAAAAAAAGTAAAAAAAAAAAACAAACACACCCGAATACAAAGTTCCTCCCCAATTTTCAAGTGGTCGCAGCAAGAAAGTACAAAATTACCACGCTCATATCCAGAAACTAATGTACGAACAAATTCCCTTCTAAATAAAAGATATTTAAAAACAGAGTTTCAGAAAAGAAAGATAAAAGAACCTTCAATCATGTTTAGACACGGAAACAGTCTTAACAACAGTAAAACTGCAAAAAAGTAAAGATTTTTTTTTTCAAATTACGAGAGTGGACAACAAATGATAATTACCAACCAGTTAAACACATACCTAATTACACAGTATCAGTGATAACTGTCCGAAGAGTAATCGGAAAACGATGAGCAAAAACGAATGTAGCCTATTGGAAATATATCGTCTGCCATTTGAATTAAAAGTCACTGCCTATAGAAACAGAGATCAGATAGTATCGGGATAATCGGGAAATATTCGAAATAAAATCGTAATAGCACGTGATTCCCATAAAGCGATTAAAGTTTTTTTTCAGTTTTTACAATTTTCCGTTTTTTCTAGTAAAGGCCTGAAATGGATAAAAAAATAATTAACGATTAGAAGTGAAAATAGCTAAATAACATTGAATTTGTAGCCGAATTAAATTGATATGGCAGCCATTTTCCCTCATCTTAATCAAATTTTGTCCAAAGTTTTCTGAAAAGCGAAAAAAATCAAACAAATTTTTCGACAGAGAATTTAGTCAAACTTTCTTTTTGGAATTCGAATTGCGACCAAAAGGGGTTTGATATGATAGCACACTTGGTCCCCAGCGAGATAACAAGATTTCTTTTTGTTTTTCGTTAAAATTGGCTGGTAAATTTTTTACCAGAATCCAGTTCGTTCCTGTTCTTCGATAATTTCTCCTTTGTTGAGTTCGTAGTTTGAAAAACTTAGCAACGGATTTTTGACAGTTAATTGCGGTGTTCCTTGAATCGTATTTTTTTTCGAATCGAACCTTGCCAAATATTAAATTGTTTGAATATACTTTTACCATAGTCATTGCTCTAACGAGAGCAAGTGTCGTGTAACTGAGAACTAGATTTTATTCATCAAATAACTCTCACAAATGTCATTTTACAGACATTTTACGAAAGTCATTTTGCAGACATAATTTGAGCATGTCTGTATTTTAAGCTTTGGTACTATTTGAAGTTTGTGTTTTTGTTGGCTGTAAACCAATTCAAGTTTGTGCAAGAGTTCAAAAAATTTTCTGCAAAAAAAGTTGAAAAAAAGTTCTGATTATTTATCATGATTTTTTTTGATTTTCTAGTCATTTTTGTCGAAAGTTTTTACACCGTTTGCCTATATTACTTTGAAGGCCGATTATGCCTAATAAATATTTGTACGTCAGATCCTTTTATCACACCACGCAGAAAAAACTACCCTAAAAGAAAACAAAACTTATTTTTGTAGTTTTTTAGTTACTTAGGTCGGAACATTCTGTGCTACTTGCACAGTAAACGGTTATCTTTTTTGAAATTCTGTAATTTGTAAATTTAAAAACCCTGGTCTAGTATTGTTCGCGCTTTTGTTTTTTTTCCGCTTAAACGCTTTAGTCAGTCTAAACTGTTGCAGCTTAAGTTTTATCAGGCGACTTAACTTATATTGTGTCATTTGAAGTTAAAATTGATTACTGTTTACAAAAAAAAACTCAGTCGGTCGTGGTCTAATTATTTGAAGTTTGAACTTAATAGCGCAAATTTTTTATGACAACAACTTTTTTTGAAATTTTTCTGTCTTGGGCTCAAAAAGCGTCTGCCCACGTATTGTCGGCTCGGTGGTCGCTCGGTTAATACTGAAACCTTGTTTAAAGCTGATAGTAGTGTTTTTCGACTGTTCTTTCGGAAATTAAATTTTTAATTATTTTATCCATAATTTTTTTTGCTATCATCATCATAACCGGTTTTGGTTTTTAGGGTGCTGCGGTAGTCCCAGTCACTGAGGTTGGCAACGTCTAACTCCTGCTCTCCATCCTTCCCTGTCCCGCGGATCGGTGCCAGACATGTTGCAGATACTAACATCATTACTCACACACTCTGACCACGCCTTTCTGGGTCTTCCTCTGCGGCCAAGGATTTCCATGCTGGTGACGGAGCTGATGCATGACGAGGCACGTTGCACGTGTCCAAACCATCTGAGACGTCGTATTCGTAGGACAGACGTGATCTCAACGACCCCCAGTTTCTGGTGAAGTGCAGCCGTGGGAATGTCATCATCCAGTTTGGTGCCACAGATACAGCGAATCATTGCGCGATCATTTCGGCGGAGACGCTGCAAGTCCGGGAATTTGGTGCCCATGTCTGACTTCCATGGAGCATGGTCGAACGGACGCAGGCAGTGAACATCTTGCCACGGATCTTTGGTGACAAGTGTTTTTTTGTCAGGATGGGTATAAGTCTCCTGAACTTGCCCCAAGCTGCGCAATATCTGGCAGTGATGGCACGTTCACAACCTCCTCCCGCACATAGCATATTTCCCAGGTAACAGAAGCTGGCTTCGACATCCAGCAAGGTTCCGTCCACGTCCAGTTGGGTTTCAGGCCTTCCATCGATTGGACGAGCCTCACCACGACATCTTGGACAGCCAAATTCCGGATCTGCAGACAGTCTCCCAGCAATGCCACAACACTTCTTGTGTACCCAGAGTTTACATTGGGAGCACCTAATCGATTTTGAGCGTACTCCTCTGCGACACACTGCGTCCTGCAATTGGAGTCCTGCAATTGGTCAAGGCCAAAACCGGAGACTAGAATCTTAGTCTTTTTCATGTTTACTCGCAAACCTTTCTCCTCCATGTTTGCCTTCCAGGCCTTCAGCTTGGTGATACACTCCCCCATGGAATCAGCGATAATTATAAGGTCATCAGCGTACAGAATCTCCCAAGGCACGTCAATGCGGAACTCGCGTGACAGCGCCTCCAGTACCATGATGAAGAGCAGCGGGCTGAGTACTGAACCTTGATGCACGCCCACTCCGACCCCAAACTCCTTACTGTACTGTTCGTTGACCCGCACGCCTATTTTTACATGCCCTGGATGACACGTATCGCCCACTCCTCGACACCAAGACTTCTCATAGCCCACCAGAGGACTTTTCTTGGCACTCGATCGAAAGCTTTCTCCAGATCGACGAAGGCGAAATAGAGATGCTTCTTCGCTGCGATGTACATCTCTTGCAACTGGCGGACAATAAAGATGGCATCAGTTGTTCCCCTGCCCGGCACGAAACCGAACTGCGTTTTATTAATGTCCACCATGTTGCGGATGAGAGGGTCCAACACATGTTCCAACAGTTTCATGACCTGGTCTGTAAGCTTAAGGCCACGATAGTTACCGCGATCTAGCGCTTCACCTTTACTTTTGAAGAAGTTCAGGATGAAGCTCTCCTCCCAGTCTTTAGGGATCTCACTGCTGCCGAAGACTGCCTCAGCCAGTTGCGTGGCTAGCTCAACTCCCTCCTCACCAGATGCTTTCAGCATCTCAGCTATGATACCAGATGGGCCAGCGGCCTTACCTATCTTCATTTTGCGGAGAGCTTTACGGATCAGTACAGCAGACACACTTGGAGGGGGACCTGCAACAGGCGGTACTTCAGGGAGCAGGTCGCACGGCCACTCGAACTCGACGTTTAGCAGTGTCGCGTAGTGCTCCTCCACGCTTTCATCTTGTCCTCATCACTGAGCGAGAGCTCACCTGCATAATTAGGAACACACTTCTCGTTACCCGCAACGTCCTGATTTGTACGGTCCAGCTGCTTAGCAATCCGGTAGACACTGCCGCCATCAGGGGTAATGTTGGCGAATTCGGCTTTTTCTGCCTCAGACTTGGCCAGCCAGATGACGTATTTGGCCACACGTTTGGTCTCACTGCATGCAGTTTTAGCTTCTTTCGCCTCAGCCGTCATGCCTAATTTCTTCAGGTTGTTGTAGGTTTTAAAGCATGCCCGTTTCTCTCACCGCTTCTTCCACACTTCCGTTCCACCATCAAGTTTCCGGCTTCCACTAGTGTTGTTTAGAGAGGCCGCGCACTTCAGAGGCCGCCTCAAGGAGTGGGTCCTTTAGCTTGGTCCATGCCTCCTCCACCGAGTTTGGAGGGCCGTCATTGGTAGCAACAATAGCCACCTTATCCCTGAAGGCAGCATGGAACTGGTTCGCAGTAGCAGGATCCTTGAGCTTCCAGGAGCGGATACGGGGAGTAAACTTGCGCTCCTTCACAGCGATGATGTGGACTGAGAAGTCAAACACCACCAGATGGTGCTGTTGAACGCATTTCTCATTCAGTATGACCTTGACATTACTTACTGCCTGGCTGAAGTTCTTGCGGAAAAGGATGTAGTCAATCTAGGTTCTGTAGTCACCAGAGCTGTATGTGATGAGGTGAGAGTCCCTCTTCTTAAATCAGGTGTTGCCTACAGGCAGGTCGTTAGCCAAGGCAAACTCCAGGATCCTCACACCCTAAGCATTTCGGACGCCGAAACCCTGCCCGCCGTGGACTTCATCGAAGCCATCAGCGTCAGCACCCACATGACCGTTCCAGTCCCCCAGCGATACAAGTATCTCCGAAGCAGGAACCCTGGCGACAGTGCTCTGCAACTGATCGTAGAATCGCTCCTTTTCAACTTCAGGCAGTCCAACTTGAGGAGCATAGACGGCAAGAAAGGTGAACACCGCCCTGCCAACGACAAGCTTCAGTTGTACATTACCTTGTCCACTCAACGCTCAGCCAACAGTATCCCAATTCCACTCAGTCCTGAGCTGTTCCCACACCAGAAGAACTTGTATTTGGAATCATTACTTTTGAGAATACGAGCCTGGTTGGCTGTTAAGCCACCAGCTCACCTATGCTCGGACACACTACACAGGTCCACTCTCCTCCTCGTCAGTGTCTCCACCACCTCACACTGTCTCTTCTTTAGGGTGCCCACATTCCAAGTGGCCACACTGAACTTTTCCGGGTGCTCGCTTGATTTGCCGCGATGGCCGGTCCCTGCCTTCCGCACCCGGGAGTCAGCCAAGCCCGAGACGCTACCAGCAGTCTGTCTATGACGGCTGCCGGCACCGCCTATCTCTACTGTAGAAATTAGACTTGCCATGTGATTGGTGTCGAAATTTTTTACAGGACCGCCTCGTCCTAGCTGTCGTCCCAACTCTGACATTACGGCTGACAGAGAAAAAACCGCCGTTCCCGCACTCGGGCTGTGTGCCTCTCCGAATGCCACCCTGTGGGGGAACAATCGCAGAACCACTGTAGCTCCTGCACCAGAATGTCAGTATGTTGATGCCTGCCACAGAAACCCTGTCACTCTGGCTGTGACAGCTCTTGTCCTTGAGAAGGGCTCTTGACCCTGAGAAGGGGGTTACAAGAATGCGGGCCTGATCCCACCCACAGGACCAAAGGACCCCCTTGGTCAATTTAAATATGGAGTTTTATTCTCCTAGACTGACTGCCACCCAGGGCTAAGGAGTTCAATCTACACCCAAAAGCTCAATGCACCCCCCAAAAGCCCAGTCGCGCCCAGGACAGAAGATGCGCCGCACTGACACAAATCACTGAACACAAATCCCCGGAGGCAGGTTGTGCAGGTGCTCCGACACACTACACAGGTCCACTCTCCTCCTCGTCAGAACAGAACAGATAAACAGAACCCCATGCAGTTTAGCGTCGTACTATTTACGACTAGTTCTTTCATCTCATTTTTGGTCGCTTGCTTGCAATGCTACGCTTGCCTTGTGTCGCTAGTGATGCAATGATCCGCTTCGCCCCTGTTTAATTGTCTTTCTCGACATGTTTTCTTGAAAATTAACTTCATTCGAGATATTAAAGATTTGATAGACGCAGTTTTCGATGTTTTTGCGAGTAAATAGCTTTTGCCTGTCTGTTTTCTCTGTCGGCTTACATGCATGGTATGTTTGATCTATCTGTCGTCTTGATTTGTACTTTTTTTGAAATTGACAGCTTCATAAAGCAACCTTATGATCGGCGTTTCATTTTGCTGACAATCAAAGATCTCAGTAAACCTTCGATTATGCAGAGGTACTTCACCACTTTGCTTAAAATTATTCTCAATATGGCGTAGTTTTTTAACTAAAAGTCGATCACTGTATTCAATGCAAAAATCATGTCCGCGAAACCTTTACAATAATATAAACTTGCTTGCGGAATTTCGCCCAAACTTTCACGCTAGAGCACTATATTAAAGATTGCTCGGAACTCTTATTTATTAAAAAAAATTTGACACATCCTACTCTGCGTGTTTAATTGTTCTTTCATGCACTGAAGATGAAGATGTTCGTTTATTTATATTATTGAAATAATTTCAGACAAGGTTTGATTTTCGAATGTTCAGCGAATATTCTCACTGAAGTAGTAGCAATCATGGAAATTGAAAGTTCGCCTCAAAATGGAGAATTAATTAATGATAGACAATTTTCAAATGCAACAGAACCAGAAGTGGATTTAGATGTCACTCCTGCTGAGACTGGGAATGTTTCTAATTCCACTGATAATTTACAACCAGCCCTGTATACGCAGACGAACAGAGCGTATAGTAGCAAAGGAAGAGGCGGCTTTAACGGTCCATTCCCAGTCGAGAGGGTGATGAAAAAGAGGGTTCGGGAGGGCAGAGTGGAGTATCTTCTGAAGTGGACTGGGTTGCCAGAGAGTGAGTGCACGTGGGAACCCCATGATTCGATTCATAGTGAATCGTTGATCGAACAATTGGAAAAGGAGCTGAAGAAAAAGCAGGAGGCTAAAAGAGCATTTGGATTTGAGAGGTCTTTAACATCAGCTTAGGTTTAAAATAATCATGGATAGAGGATGTTCACTCGCGAGCATATTTTTGCTCGAATAGAATAGTCATTTTAGTAGCTTTAAGTAATATAATCTTCTGGTGGTCTTGACCTTGACACTGTTATTACCCATATATTATCAATTGTTTCAACAGTTTTGAGGAACAAGGTCAATTTTTAAGCTTCGTATGTTTGTTAAGTCCTTTGCAATCTGACGTCACAGATTGACGCTCTAAACGCCTACTTCAGAACTTCGTTGTTTCAGGTGTTTGGAGCCAGAAGAGATAATCGGTGGCACTGAAAGTGGAGGCAGAGCAAAGTTCCTAATGAAGTGGAAGGGCGTGAATCAACTAGAAATGGTGCCCTGCGAGGAGGCCATAGACTACTGTCCAGACCTTGTGCTCAACTTCTTTCAAAAGAGAGTGTCCGGATCATTCAACTAGAGTTTTCATCTAGTTTTACCGATATCTTTGCTTAAGTGTAGCGGTCGTTTACAGAGTAATGGCCATTTCAAATTAAAACGATAGAAGCGTTATGGTCAGTTAGGTGGCAACGGAGGTCAGTTACAATTATTTTTGGTATCTCGACAGTCAGCGTGAGATTACTTTAAGCGTGAAAACACTTTATCGGTATGTTTCATCGAGATGACTCGTATCAGAAATGGCTGCAGGCCTAGTTGCCTTGGAATTCCATTGGACTTTATGATCAATTATGATTGATGGGAATAATGTCGCTTAATTGGTCTTAAAACTTAATAATTGTCGTTAGATATTAACTTTGGTTTTAGATTGAATGTTCAGAATCTGCGATTTTAGAATTGAGTTGTTTAGACCTAATTTTTTCTCATACCGAGAAGGGTATATCAAAAATTATTACTTGATATTTAGCTATTTTTGCAAAAGTAAACAATCATGTCCAAGATAAAGACTGATTTTCATCAGTTTGCTGTTTTTTTCCCGCCCACATTAATGAGAGGAATTTGACAGTGTATCTTATATATTTCGATCACATCCCTAGATCACATCCCTTTTTTGGGTTAACATTTTTAAAACTAATTCCGTTTAATCATTTGATAGCTTGGCTTATAATAAATTCAATTTTCTTAGCTTCTGCTGCACATTTGGTTTGGAGGTTATGACTACGCCTGGAACGGCAAAGGTACTAGGTTTGAAACTCGGCAGGTTTAGTTTTTTTTTCAAACCGAATAATTAGTTACAAAAAAAGTGTCGGACTGTCGTTTGTCTGCTTGTGTTTTATCGGCTTAAGTGACACATCAAGTTTTTTTTGAGCTGTAAGCAATTTTAATTCGAATTGAAAGTGTTTTATTTGAATTTTTTCCTGTAATTTGTAAATTTACTAAATTTGATTATTTTAGTTTCCTTGGTTATTTTTTGAATTGAAAGCTCTATTTGCCTCACTTGTCTCGGCTGACGTTTTATTGGTTTAGTGAAAGTATTTTGCGTCGTGTGAAGGAAAAATTACATTTTTACCTGTGTTTCCTGGAGGGAAGGCGTAAATTAAGATTTTCGAAAGTTCTTCATGACAACAGTTTCGTTTTCGGTTCAACTGGAGTTTACCCATATTTTGGCGGCTTAGTTCCCTCTTGATGAAATTTTTCTGTAGACTTGTTTTATGCAAGCGATTGTGATTTAGGAATTGTTATCCTCAAATAACACAATTACAAATAAATCTTCGAGTGTTTTTGTAGATGTGTTTTTTTATCGTACGGTATTGCAACCGAATACTAGACGTTTTCACGTAAATAAATTCGTTTACTGGATCTTCAAGTGCAGTTAATCTTCGAATCTGTACTTTCGTCAATCAACAGTCACATTGTGAGCATGTCTGCTTTTTAAATACCCGTTATATTCGAATTTGGCCAAATATTTGTTGTAAATTTGTCAACTCCGATTGGTTGAAATTTCGTTTTCGAGTTTTTACTTAATCGATTATATTATTTCGGCTTTGTGGCTTCTGTATGAGAACTTAATTATTAAATGCCAATGAACATAGTGAAGATATTGATAGAAATCATTTAATTTCGTTTTATGCCCGCATTTCATGCTCTACTTTGCGTGTGTCGATTTTTGTCTGCTTTTTATGATGCAGGTGGCAACTAACAAATACCTTAATTATTTTGAGATCTATAATTTTTTCTGAAGAAAATTTACTGCTCCTGATTTGTTTTTTTATTAGAAGCTCTTTTTGTTCCGACCGCTGAAAGTGAAAATTAACTAAGGCTGCAACTGTTTTAAAACTGAAAGTTGGGCGCTACAGACACATCAACTGTTACTGTTTTTTAAACTAAAAGTTAGGCGCTATCATTAGCAAAGATTTTCAGTCGTGATACTGCCGATACTAAAAGATTTCAGTTTTTGCAACGCACTTTGCAAATAGTGGTATTTTAATTGAAGTGCAATAGTTCTTAATGGATGTGTTACCCCTTAATAATGAACCCTAGATACGTTGGGGCCCTTGGTTTAAATTTAAAAAGATTTTCGGAATTTTCAAAAGTTTTTCAATTGAAAACAGTTTTGATCAACGTGAGTTTAACTACTTTTTGCCGGCTCAGTTGCCGATCAGTTTTTGTGTCTGAATACTTATTAAGCGCCAGTTATTGTGTTTTTAAATTGAACATTCCAGACAAATTTCTGAAAATTTTGTAGTTATGGTTTTTCGAAATTTTCTAATTATTTTTGTTTCATTTTCTGTCTGCTAACTTGCAATGCTATGTGTGTGAGGTATCGCAAGTGTGTTTAACATGCAATCTTTTTTGTGAATTTGTGAAGGTTTTAAGTTCGACAGTTTATCAATTTGCTGTACTATAATATGCGCGGTTTTGTACTTGTGTATGATGGTCAACGCGTGAGCGAGGCAACTGAACCCAAATTTCGACTTTCGAATAATTGTTTCAAATTGAGTTAATGCTGGCTAGTCAGTTTCAATTGTTCTTACAGGACTCAAATCATGTTTTTTGGTTCTTCTTATTTTTTGAAAATCTATTTATGTTTAGGCGTTTTTCTATATTTTATACGTTTTTTTTGTTTTAGAGACACTTTTCGCCGTTGTTTGGCTACTTTTGGCAAAGTGCAGGTTCATGTTTGTGTTAAATCTTTCTGCGAAAATTTTTCTGGACAGAATTTTTTTTTCCGATAAACAAAGCAACCGGCGTATTTTGCTGAATATAACAAGGCTTTTCGAAGTGATTTCTATCTACTCCTATGTACTGCTTCTGATTTCATTTATATTTGAAAAATTGTCAGTCATTTGCAAGTGCTAAATTCACTGAGTTAGTTTGTGTGATGTTTTGTCGTTTTCTTGGGAAAAAAATTAAAAATTTGTTTACGCGCAAATTTCAATTTTGGTAGTTTGCTTTTTGTTTTTTCTTTCACTTCCAATTATTCGCTAAATGGAAAATAAATTATGCTTTCACGGCAATTGGCGGTCCTTTTTAAGTTTTCAACTAATTCGCTGTTTTCTGAATCAGCTTTCGATGGTCTGGTTTTGAATTTGCCTGTGACAGCGAGCGGAAGTTGATTTAGAAAACAGCGGGCTAGTTCAAAACTTAACAAGACTGCTCGTATCAGGGCGAAGCCCTGAATGTTCCGACTGCCTTTTTAGGACTATAGAGCAGCAAGAACATGAAAACTTTGAACGTAATAAAATAAAATTAAATTTTTTGAAAAAAAATGTGAGATTTTTTGTGAAACCATCCCCCACACGCCATATTAAGTACAAACTGATAGATTTTGCTCCTATTAACAAATCAATTATGTCATATAAGCTTCCTTGAATCAATTTACGATTTCTAAAACGGATTATATCTCGCTTACGCGTTAATAGCGCGAAATATATCGCACATTAATTGTCCCAAAATGGCAATCTTTAAACCCACTTAACTTTATGAAAAAACGATCACAGGTGAAATATCTTTTCCAATTTGAAGCTCAGGATAACAATAACTTTCGATGGATAGTAAAAAAAATTCCGTCTAAAATGGCTAGTTAAAAAGTCGAAATTTGTCTGAAGAAATAAAACGACCCCGAGCACAAATATTCCGTTACTTTCGTTACGAAAGTCGGAACAACAAGGACCAATTGGAGTGAAATAGCATGGAATGTTTCCAACCCAGTAATCTTAGTAAAAGTATTAAAAATATGTATTTTTTTAATTTTCCAGGCTGGGATTACAGCTATGAATGTGGTACCTTAAAAGAAATTTTCTTGTCGCAGTTGAATCGATGTTTTATAACATGAAATAATATTTCAGATACACATGATTTCAATAATGCAGATTTGGACTGAAAATGAACCAGTGTGGACACAGAAACTACTATTTGAACAACTTGAAAGCCAATTTTTCTCTAAACTTTACGGATGTTACCAATCTTCTCACCCAACAGTGAGTAGTTTTTGATTTCTTTTGAGTTGAATAAAACAAAATTCTGATTCTGTAATAAAATTGGTTTGTCAATCTTTAAGCAGCTTTGAATCCGTTTTGACCACAACGGCTCAACGCGCTGTAATATTTGATTGGTAAACTGATAACTACTTGCCATAATGACTAAGAAGAAGCCTAAGAATTCCCACATGCAAGGCAGTGGAGGTGGCGGTAAAAAGAAACCATCGCAAAATAAACATCCTGCTCCATCCAAAAAGCATCAAGATTCCTCGGGCACGTCGATTTCAAAATCATCAACGATGGAAAATCTTTCCGCTGAAAATCCTTCCACGTCCAATACAGACTTGACACAAAAAATTACATCAAGCACTAGCTTGCAAAATATTCCGTGCGCTAATGAAGCAGCGGATCAAAGTTGTCGATCAACAGACTCTTCCGAACACTCTAATGAAAGTTCCAAGCAATCTTCCGACGTAGTTTCGAAGCCGAGAGTTCACTTTGACGAAACAAAGCTCATCCTGAATCTCGATGACGCAGAGCTAAAGGAGCACTGTGAAATAGTCGATAAAGATACATTTGATTCTGCTAGTTTGCAGGTATAGCGAGGCATGTCACAACAGATTCGTTGAGTTCCATTGGTAGATAATTTAAGAATGCTCGTGGAATGTATTATACGCATGATAATTACTTTAAATGCACCTCAAACATCCTGGTCACCACAATCCGTACCTTTCAACTATACTTCATGGCAACGAGGTGAGGACGGTTAAATGAAAGAATCCCTTCCCCAGGATTGCAACTAAAAAAGTTGCAGCCACTTGTATGCCTGGCTGGATAAACTCACGAAATAGATTCACGCTAATAAACTGAACATTACCTATGTTGATCTCTAAGCTTTCGCGGATAAATGTTCCAACTTAATTCTGCTGATAAAAATGTTCATGAGAAAATGAGAGCTATTTGAGATGAACTAGTCTTGCAAATGTCAGCTTGCCTGTCAGCATGTACTTGATTGAGTTCCACATTTATTTTGAGTCTTAACCCATGAGTTTGCTTGTTAAGAATTAAAAAATGAAACCTTGAATAATTTAAAGGCTGTTTAGGCTCACCACGAAACTCTTACTTCGGTGTGGAGAGAACATTTGAAGTTTAGCATCGAAGAATCCAAATACATGCTGGCCCAGTTGAGCCGCGCAACTCAAAAGCAGCCAGTCTTAAATGTACGCTTGATTCTACACCAGTTTTAAAAAAAATATCAGAAAGAGATAGAAATATGAAAATTGAGAACTTGAAAGTAGGAGTACTTGACCAAAAAAAAACAGTACGTGTCTGTAAAGTACTAATTCTAACATATTAACATAGTATAATTAAGTTTATAATTTACAGGAACATAAAGCTACGGAGCCAATTACTTCAAACATGGTTCGGAAATCCGAATCATCGGTTGCGAATAAAGTAACCGCTGTTGCAGATAGTTCTGCTTTTTGTCAGGCGGAAGAAAGGTGCTGGCGACATAATTGTGGTTTCAGCCACATCAAATATGTTTTGGCCGAACAGGCTTTTTATGCTCATTTGGCAGAAAGTGCAAAAAACGTAAGGAAAAACACGAAATTTTGCTCCTTACAAAAAATAGGCAAGACAGAGCAAAATCAAAAAGAAGCGAAAAGCAAAGTCAGTTTCTCAGAAGAATCGACTGACGTTTCTTTGTTCAGCGAAGATTCTTCCGTTTGGTCCAAACGACCGTTCTTCGAGAGCTCTGAAAGTTTGTTCTGGGCTAAATCAAGCGTCAGAAAGGTCAGTGATCAGGTCTCATGATTAATGATCCTGCAAGTTCTTTCTGCATGATTTGATTTCTGTCCATTTCCAATCATATTTCCATAAATCTCTAGTTTGCACGCGTGGTTTGCTCATGCCTCAAGAACTTCAACGTAGTGAGAAAGAAGTCGAAAATAGTACACTGAATAATAATAAGTGAAGAAAAATTGAATTGCCATCTGTTAGTTGCTGTTTTGCTGCATGTCAATTAGGTGTTTATTTTTCAAAACTGAATCATAGATGTTTATTTTAGGAGTCTAATTGGGTTGAGAAACCTGCCAACAAAATATTTAATGAGCAACTTCTGAGCACAAGAGTTCCAGTTGATATGCTACCTGCATATTATAAAGCAGAAGAAGCATACTTCTGCCATCGTTACAGCACAAATTCTTTAAAAGTTGCAAATGCAGAATGCGAGTTCTATAAGCATGTAGTGCAATCTGAAAGTGTATCTACGAAAGCATCGACTTCTAAACCTGACCAAGCCTTAAATAACGCAAAATCACAGCCTATTGCTAAAAGCAAGGAAGAGGCCTTTATGGATCCGGAAGTTCTCCTTAATTTAAAATCGTCAAATGATATATGGATTCCTTATGGAGACTCAGTTTGGCTGAAAAAGCCAGCGTTTCATAACGCCGAAACTCGGTTTTGGCACAATTCGAATATAGAGGTCAGTTTTGTCTCACTTGAGTTGCTTGCCATCTAAATTTATTCTTTCGCATGTTTCGCTGTTTGATTAGCGTTATCTAGAAATCAATCATTACTAATCATATCTTCTCGCAACAACATCGAACGACGGAGTTGGCCACAAAATTTTGGACTGTTGTCTTGATTTTGTTTTGCGGGCTGTCGTTCTTGTTTGCAAGTTAAACTAATTGTAAGTTTGATTCCTCATCTCTGTCCGAATCGATTTCTCTGTAGCTACTGCTTCTTGGTACTAAAACAGCACGACAATCAATAATTTCTATCCTTGCATGAGAACTCATCTCCAGTTAACAGCGATTGGATTCCTGTTTAGAAAAACAACACCGAATCCAAAAATCCGTCTTCGAAACGTTCGGATTCCAAACAGAACTCTAGTAAGAGCGAAAGTCAACGTTCAGCAGTATCTTCAAACGTAGCTGCAAGTAGTCTGGGAAGTAGTAAAGCGACTCCAGGAAAGTCAAAGCAGGTTAAAGATATCTTGGACAACTGCCTTGATTCGGATGTTCTCAGAGCTTCTAGCCTCATCCGCGAGGAGTTGATGCGAGCCAGGGCCATAATTCAGGAGGCACTGTCGGAGGTCGGTAGTCTGGAAACCTCAAACCTTAGACCAAAATATTTTCCGGATCATTTTTAAGTTGAACGCCTTGCTGAAATCTAGATTCAGCTTACCCTTGATTTTAAAAAATGATTTCAAAACTTATAGCAATTATTAGGCGAGAAGGGGAAAAGCATTATATTGTCCTACGTTTTGATGAAGTCAGTTTTGGGCGCTTAGAAACATGTTTCGAGCAAGCAAATCAAATGGAAGTTTCCAGTCTAGCCTTATGCAACCAAACGGTTTACTGATTAATAATGGTGTGATGAAATCGTGTTTAGTTTTTCGAATAGTTATCTAAAATACGGTCCATAAATGTTGGATTTAATACGCTTGCATTTCCAAGTCGACATTTTATTGATCAGACGATAGTTTTCTTTTTGGATTTCTTGCGTGGTATTGCTTCACTAATAAAGCTCAGACATCATTCTTGTTTGGAAAACTGACATTGTGTGAAGTGTTATGTTGTATCATAATGAAGTTCCAAAGTAAATTTACTTGTCCCACTGTATTGCGCCCACAAACCCTGACAAACTCTGACGCGACCTGGTGGTTGCATTCAGACCAAAATCTGAAAACAACCAGAAAAAATTGCAAATTTGTTTTATTTGATTCAAAATCAGATGGATTTCAAACATTAAGGATCGAAATTTTAGAAGCAAATCATCGGGTACGCAATTCGAAACGAGACTTGACGATAAAACAGGCAGCGCAAAAAATGGTTTTGAAAAATTTCTAGAAGAAGAAAAAGAAAGAAAAGACTTATTTGACAAAAAACGTAACAATGGTATCAACCGCATATGACTTTTTCACTTTTTACACAAGCAATGCTTGAATTATAGTATGAACTATCTTTTTTTCGAACTTAAGTCGCAAATATTGTTGCGACGCAAATATTGTTGCGATAAAATGTGTTCATTTTTAAAGTGTTCATTTTGATCAATAATCAGCTATTAAGTACAGCCAATGCTAAGGGATTTAATCCGTTAGAGAAATCGTTCCAAATTGGTTGAAGGAAGCTTATTTGCCATAATTGATTTGTTACTAGGAGTAAAATTAATCTTTTTGTACTTAATATGGCGTGTGGGGGGATGATTTTCACACAAAAAATTCGCCTCTGCGTAAATTTTTAATCACAGACTTCGCACGTGAAAATGTTAAAAGTTTCAACTGTGCAGTTGGCGTTTGGGTAATTTGGCTCCAAGATTAATTTCTTTTAAAATTTCTGATTATTCAATTCATTTGCACATAATTGTCTTAATTTACAATGCACATATGGCGAAAACGTCTAAGAATTTCCCGACATAGGTAGACCCGAGTCCTGTTCAGACTTGTTCGGAATTTTCCGAGAGATTTTTATCGGTTTGTTTTTCTGCTGATAGGTACGCTGCGTTGTTTCCAAATTGAGTTTTTTCTTTGCGTGCTCAGGGCAAGCCTGCTATAATTCACCTGTCTTGGTTGTTCACAAATGAATGCCGAGTTGGAAATTATTCTGGTTGATTTTTTTCGGCTTAATGATTTTATTCTCAATTAGAGTCTGCCTATTCGTTTCTGAGCTATCGGCTTAGATCTTCAAATGCTCAGTATAAACTTGTTTGAAAGCTGATTTGTGCAGAAGGAGAGATCAATAAAAAAAATTTTGCACGAGAAGAGATCAATAAAATTTTTCCGTTGAGTTTTGAAATATTGGTCTTTTTCGTTTTTTTTTCTGAAATTCAGCCAGCTTAGCCTGTTCTTTTTTTGATCAGTTTTTTTTTAATACAGAACGATTTGAAAACCGCTCTGGTATTCTGTTTTTGCATATCGATAGATACTTGTAAAAGTTAATTATTGTCGCTTCTCTTTTGATATATCAGATTTTGATTTGTTTTTACACTTGCGAAGCTACTGTATTAGTACAAACCTTCTTTTTTCCAACCTAAGTCGCAAATATTGGTGCCACTTTTGAGGCACCTTTACAGCTTTTCATAGCATGTGCTTTGACTTTCGAATAGTTATATGTTGTCTCAGTTGATGCATTTTTAATTCATCAAATGAACCGAAAAAAGTTTGTTTCAAACAACATAACAATAATGAAAACTCGATTTCAGAAACTTTTAACTCAATATATCTCGCAATTTTTTTGAAATGCATAATTTATACATAATGTGGCTTTACGCCTTGCGATATGTTACATGCAAAGTTAGTGTGGATGCCTTCAGTTGGTTATATTCCAAACTATTACTTGCAAAATTGAGTAATATAATATTTGGTGTCACTTTTGCTGAATTGCATTGACAATTTATTAGCATATGTAGCTGCTTTATTCGTGACTAGTCTTTGTCGGTTGTTAAGCTTGCGTGGCTGAGGGGATAGTGCGTGAGACTCAAAATCTCTTGATTGCAGTAGGTCGCAGATTCGAATCCTACACGTAGCCGAGTTTTTGCTAATTCGAGGCTTATTTCTACTCTCTTTTTTCACTTGATAGAGCTGCTTTTTGGTCGTGTTCTCGCAAGTGTTTGCAAAGCGCAGCTTGGCCTCTGTATAAATTTTTGTTTTCACGATTGATTTTTTTGTCAAATTCGTGAACGATTTCTCAATAGAGTCTTTGAATGGCTGTTCATATTGAATTTTAGTTCAACTTTGCGAAATGAAATAATTGCGTTAAATTTTTTTACCATAGCTATTTTTTAGTTTCAGTAGTGTTTCGCTTTGCCTCTAAAATATTGGAAGAATTGACTTATATTAACGACTGTGATTTGAAAACTTGCCAAACTTATCCTTTATAAAATGTATCTCGATTTGAGCAAACAAGACCAAAAAACTGTCGATATTCTTAAGTTTATTGAAAAAATTTATGGCGTTTTTGAGCAATACATTGATTAATCACGATTTTTTGTTGCTTACCCTTGATAATATTTTCACTTGCGAGAACAAGTGACCTGTAATCGGGAACTATACTTTTTCTCCCGTAAATAGTTTTTCTTATATTTTAAAAAATTGTGTAGGCATTACAGTTTCTTTCATGTGTGCAGGCTGACAGGCTCAATTTCTTCAAAAATATAAATAAAAGTACCTCTGAGTTCAGTTTCGGTAGTAATTACTATTTTTTTCAAATATATTGAAAAACGGTTGATTTTTTTTTCGGATGTGTGGTTTTTTTCATTTTTTTCTGACGGCTTATTTTTGTTCTAAATGCAATTTATTTCATATAGTTCTCTTTTTCAGCCGTTTCTTTGCAAAGCATGGGTTTTTTATTTAGAATTTTTTTACTGTAATTGAAAATTGTTTGTAGTTGATTTTGAAATTTTTTTTTCGGTTGAACGGTTTGTTTTATTGGCTTAGTGAACTTATGTTGCGTAGTTTTAAGGGAGATTTGTACACTGCTTTTGCGGCGTGGTTTAGGAGGGCTGGGTCGTAGAGTTTTTCATTTTTCAACTTTAGTTTTTTATGGATACTGTTTCATTTTCAACATAACGAGGGTTGACCCATGTTTTTTCGGCTTAGTTGCCGCTCGATCATTGGTTGCCAATGCTTTTTAAGACTCTTCTTGAACATTATTCGAAACAAAGGTATGAAATGTTTGTAGATAGTTCTCTTTTTTCGACTCTCTGGTATTTTTTCAGCTTAATTTAAAAAAATCCTTTTTCTATTCAATATCCCATAATGCATGGTTTAATTGTATCGCAAGTGTTGCGAAGCTCTGCTTTGCTTCTGGGTATACATTGGTAAAAGCACATTGGTCCAAAGGTTTCTGAAAAAAAAATTACTTCGGCGTGCTTCTGTTCATATGGCTCGAAACGTTTGGCCAAATTTGTTGGTAAGAAAAATCTGTTTGTTTGGATTAAAAACTGCTCGGAAATCAAATATTTCGTGAGTTGCTGCAAAAGATGGAGCAAAAAGCGCGCAATAGAATCGGAAAGTTGGTCAGCTTTAGCAGAATGAGCTCAAAGTTGAAGTCGAATGGTTTCCTTATGCAAAAATACGTCTGCTATTTTACTCTATATCATCAACAATGGGAGTATTGTCTTATTTTTAGGAAGGATTGACGAATCTGAAAGAAGCTGTGACTCGTGTAGACCACATTGAAGCTGACCAGACCGACCTCAAAGACGGTGAGATGATGAACAAGATACCATTTTATGTATTCATTGTTGTAAAATAGATTTTAGTCTTAAAATAGTTCTACTGCAACACCACACAAACAGCTATAAGCGAGCACTAAAACATTTGTCGCAAGTTTGATTGAATATATTGTTAGTTTCTCGCTTTTTTCAGTAACAAAAAGAATTCAGAATCAATTACAGAGTTTAGAGGACCGTGTGAAGGGGCTCGAAGCTGTCGTCAAGATGAAAAACGGTAACTGTTCATTCTCGGAAAATGTCCAAGTTTTCTTAGTGACCTTTATCCAGTGGCGGATCTAGGATTTTCTCGAGGAGATAATCCAAAAAGTGCCAGAAAATATGTTTGAGCATTTTCTGGAAGGTGTTTCGCACAAACAATTGCAGTTTTTCGGCGAGCGCTTACCCCTCCAAATGAATATATCTAGACTCCAAACGTCGGTCTGCCAAGATGGATCTTATAAAAGAGTACCAAAGAGTACAGTTTGAGTAAAGAAAACTGAAAGTTAAAATAATGTCAGCCTATTTTAACTTTCAGCTGTTTTTACTCACAGTAAAATTGTTGCTTAATGTAATTGAAAGAAGTTGTTTATTTCAGGAGAACGACCTACAACCAGTAGCGAAGTACGTCAGTGCTTCATAGATTACTTTGTCGCTAAACACGCACATAGGTTTTGTCCCTCCTCAAGCACAATTCCCCATGAGGATCCGACACTCCTGTTTGCAAATGCGGGAATGAATCAGTTCAAACCCCTCTTTCTGGGAACTGCAGATCCCAACAGTGATCTGGGAAAACTAAAAAGGGCGTGTAACACTCAGAAGTGTATCAGGGCAGGTGGAAAGCATAATGATTTGGACGATGTGGGGAAAGACACGTACCATCATACTTTCTTCGAAATGTTGGGAAACTGGTCTTTTGGAGACTACTTCAAGGTTTGTATCATTCCCAGTGTATTCACACTATTCAAATCTTTCAGCTAGTTAAATAGTCGCAAAAAATCGTAACAAAACCGCGTATAAAAGGAATGAAAGAATTATTTTGTACAATTGTTTTTTGTGATAATATATTTTTTCGATAATTCAAGGAGGAGAATGCTAAGACATCAGGTACATGCGTGATATAAACATCTGCCTTTGTAATCTATTCTTTTTTTAATCGGGAACAAAAATTAATGCGAGGTTTTTGAAACTGCTTAGTTAAATTTTTTGAACTGTTTTTGATGCCTGGTTGTTTCTGGGCAAACTGATTGCGTTCAAGTAGTATTGATTCTGGGTTTAGAAAGAGGCCTGCTTCTGGGCTCTTGATCTACTCACGAACTACTACAAAATAAACAAAAGCAGACTTTACTTCACCTACTTTGGTGGCAACAAGGAACTGGGATTGGAACCAGACGAGGAGTGTCGCCAGATCTGGCTGGATCTTGGAATTCCAGCATCATGTGTTTTGCCTTTTGACATGAAGGATAATTTCTGGGAAATGGGAGACACTGGCCCCTGTGGACCCTGCAGTGAGATCCACTATGATCGGGTGGGAGGAAGAGACGCCGCTAGTCTTGTGAATATGGACGACCCTGAAGTTGTGGAAATTTGGAACCTGGTCTTTATTCAGTTCAACAGGTGATCATGTCAGATCATTTGACACACTCATGTTCATTTTGTGCTTTATACGGAATGCGCAAATTATAAGATAATAGTAAGGAACCTTTAGAAATGATCTTAACGTCAGTCTGCCAAAAATTTTTTAAAAAAATATGTAAAAGAGTATCAAACAGGTACGTACGTTGGCTGGCAAGTGGTTCGAATTCTTGAGGAATCCCTAATAGTTTTGAGCATGCACATAAATTAATAGTTTTTCAGGTACTTTGGTTTCTTATTTTGTCTTAATGACATTTCAGAGAAGTTGGCGGAGATCTGAAGCCTCTACCGAAGAAACACGTCGATACCGGAATGGGATTTGAGCGTGTGGTGTCTGTAATTCAAGATAAGATGTCTAATTATGACACAGATGTGTTCACGCCAATCTTCAATGCCATACAAGAGGTAAGAAGAAATATTCATGATGTTGCGAATAGTTACGCATCTTTCTGTTCTCGGAAATTTGATGAAAATGAAAAAGGAGTTAACTTCAATTTTAAACAAAGGACGAATTGGCTCATTCCTAGCGTCTTGTCTAGAAAGCTAATGTTCGGGCGTACACCGGAAAGCTGGGCCTGGACGACACGGATTCTATAGACATGGCATACAGAGTACTTGCCGACCATGCCAGAACCCTAACAGTCGCTATTTCAGACGGAGGCAGACCAGATAACACGGGTAGAGGCTATGTTTTAAGACGCATCCTAAGACGAGCAGTCCGATTTTCAACTGAAGTTTTGAAAGCGAAGCCTGGATTCTTCGCCGATCTCGTGGACACAATTGTGGAGTGTATTGGTCCTGTTTTCCCAGAAGTGAGGAGTTCTGTAGATACTGTGAAGAAGATCATAAACGAGGAGGAACAGCAGTTTTTGAAGACACTTGTCCATGGGCAGAAGGTGTTTCAGAAGACAATCAGTCAGCTGGACTCTAATATTCTTCCAGGTGCATCATTCATCTCTTGATAATCTTCTTATTTGTTTCTTTATTTGGTGATTCTTTCCAGGTGTGCTTTAACTAAAATGCGTCAATAATAGAGATTTTTATCTGCCAATTTTTCCTGATAATGCAAATTAAAATGCATAGTTTTCTTTTTCAAGGTCACCTGGTGTGGAGATTGTATGAGACGTATGGGTTTCCTGTTGATCTCACCACTTTGATGGCAGAAGAGAAAGGTCTGCAGATTGACCAAGAGGGATTCGAGAAAGCGAAAGAACATTCCATCGTAAGTGGTTTCCTTGACTGTTAGAGCGATAGTTTTCTCACCAAATGATGAATATTTTATTGCTTATGAATGATCGTTAATTTTTTCTGTATATTGGTTTTGCTTGTGCATAATTTGTTTTCATCTCATCAAATTCTTGCCTTGATTGGCTTGAGATTTTGATGAGATTCGGTTTTTGGGTTTTGTTGATTTTATGGATCTTTTTGTTTGTTGATTTGTCATGCTTGATGCGATGCTATGACTCATGATGCTGAAACACTTCGTAACGCTTTTTTACCAAGGACATGAGAATCTTCTGTTTAACAACTATTGCTTGGTCTGCTGGTAGCTTTGATTCCCTTTTTTTCCACGCCGAAAGGAAAAGGTGGTTGATTACTTTCTAAATGATGTATTTTTCTGTTTTATTATGAGTCCATGAACGTACTGGAGACTCTTTTGTAAGTCTTGATGATTTTTTTCAATGTTTTCCGGAAAAATTCTTGTTTGATAAATACCTTTCTCTATTTGAAAATGGTCAGATTGTGATGCTTGATGCGAAGGTCTGATTCATGATGCTGAAATATAACTGGTTGAAAAATTTTGATTTGATGTCTCTTGAAGAATCTGCTTAAGTTTTTGTTATCAAAGTGTTAAGCTGTAGTCTTTCAAAGAATCTTCAGATGAGTGTTTCAAATTATGAGTCAAATAAATTTAAATGCTTAATTTTTGATATCGCATATTAGTAATATGTAACATAGATAAATCTCAGACCTGAAACGCAAGTAATTGGGTTGGTTATTTTTGCTTTTACGCCACAAATTATGAGTTCGATCCTCCTAATTGCAGTCTGATTTAAATGTTGCTCTGTTTTTCTTTTATTGATGTATGATGTGTGATTCGAAGGTATATTGATAAGGCTATTGATTTTTGTTTACTGTCTTCTTAATTTAAATGCTTAGTGTTTAATGCGGTAAATCACTTTTTTTTGATAAAGTTTAAGATAGATGTGGAAGTTATAGGGTTTGAAATAGGGATGTTTTTCTCTAAATTATGGCTTCAAGCGTCCTTAGTTGCTGTCTGATTTAAAGTACCAATCCAAGTTCTTTTTCGTGCTGTGTTTCTCTGATATCGTTCTCTATTGGTTTATGATATTTGATACGAAGGTACGATCCATGATGCTAAAAATGTGCTGCTTTTTTCTGTTTCGCGTTTTCATTTGAGCTGTCAGGTGAATCATGTGTGATCAAACTTGTAAGCCTAAGTTAATAGTTGATATCATAAAGTGTGAAATTGTGGTCACTTCAAAGCCTAGCTTAGTGTTTAATGTGGGTAAACAGTAATTTGTAACATACTTGAATTGGAAGTGGAAGTTATGGGGTCTCTATTGAAGTGGAACTATGGGGTCTGTTATTGTGAGTTTTGCGGTAAATAATGACTTCGAGCCTCCTCATTTGCTGTCTGATTTAAGGTTACAATTGAGTATCTTAGCGCAGTATTTCTCTGTTTTTGTTTTTTATTCATTTTTGTAATCTGATGCGAAATTATGATTCATGATGCTCAAACTTTTTTTTTTTGCTTTTTTCGCAATTTTCTATGATCTTACTGGTGAATCATTTGTGATCACACTTGTAAGTGTAATCCTATCGTTTGTTTCTACTGTTGAATCGAATTCTAAAAAAATAGCCATTTGAAGGTTAATTCTTTCATTTTGTACATTTCTGACCTCTGACTCGTTTTTTGTTTGTTAGGTCTGTGATTTTTGATGCGAAGGTCTGACCCTTGATGCTGAAATATAACTGATTGAAAACTGTTGGTTTGATTTCTCTTGATATCATTATTTTACCTTGATTTGATTTCAAATTGTTAAGCTTTATTTCTTTCAAAGAATCTTCGGATGAGTGTTTTAAATTATGAGTAAATTAAATTCAATTGCTTGATTTTCGATGTCGCATATCATTTTTGTTGAAACAGTTGAGTCTCAGGCCTGAAATGGAAGTTATGGGATCGGTTATTTCGCTTTTACGCCACAAATTATGATTAAATTGTCCCTAATTGCAGTCTGATTTAAATAAGCGAGCGCTGATTCAATCTCTTGAAGTGCTGCTCTATTTTTTTTGTTGGTGTATCATGTGTGATTCGAAGGTATGATTCATAAGGCTATTGATATTTGTTTTCTGTCCTGTTTTGTTTTAATGATTAATGCGGTAAATCAATTTTTTGGATATAAATGAATCTCAGTATTTAAGACCAGAAGTGGAAGTTTTAGGATTTGAATTTTGGATGTTTTTGCTGCGAATAATTGGTTCAAGCCTCCTTAGTTGCTGTATGATGTAAGGTAAAAATCCACTCTTTTTTTCGTTGTGGATTGATTTTTTTTGATTTTTGTTCGATTATGATTTGTGATGTGAAGGTACGATTCATGATGCTAAAACTCTACAAATTTTTTTTGCTCTTTTTCGCGATTTTGTTTGATCTTTCTGGTGAATCATTTTTGATCAAACTTTTATTTCTAATCCTATCGTTTGTTTCCACTCTTGAATCGAATTCAAAAAATAGCTATTTGAGGGTTCTTAGGTTTCATTTTGTACATATCTGACTCGTTTTTTGTGTGTTAGCTTTGTGATGCTTGATGCGAAGGTCTGACCAATGTTGCTGGAATATAACTGATTGAAATCTTTTGAATTGATTTCTTTTGAGGAGTCTGCTGAAGTAGTTGATATCAAAGTGGCAAGCTGTATTTTTGCCTGGAGTCTCAAGATGAGTGTTTCAAATTATGAGTCAAATATCCTTTTTGATGTCACATATCAGTAATTTCTAACATAGTTGAATCTCAGACCTGAAATGCAAGTTATGGGGTTGTTGATTTTGCTTTTTCGCCTCAATATTTAGTTCAATCCTCGCTAAATGCAGTCTGATTGAAATCAGCGAGTGCTGATTCAGTTTGTTTGAAGTGTTGCTCTGTTTTTCCTTTCGTGATGTATGATATTTAATTCGAAGGTATGTTTCTTAAAGCTGTTGATTTTTGTTTTCTATGTTCTTAGTTTAAATGCTTAGTGTTGAATGCGGTAAATCATTTTTTTTCGATAAATTTTAAGACTAGAAGTGGAAGTTATAGGGTTTTAAATTGGGATGTTTTGCTGTAAATTATGGCTTCAAGCGTCCTAAATTGCTGTCTGACTTAAGGTAACAATCCAAGTTCTTTTTCGTACTGTGTTTTTCTGTTTTCGTTCTCTTTTGGTTTATGTTATTTGATGCGAAAGTTTGATCCATGATGCTAAAAATGTGCTCATTTTTTCTGCTCCGCGATTTCATTTGATCTTTCTGGTGAATCATTTGTGATCAAACGTGTACGTCTAATCCCATTGTTTCTTTCCACTGTTGAATCGAGTTCTAAAGAATAGCTGTTCGAAAGTTGATGCGTTTCATTTTTCTACATATCTCTATTTTGTTTGTTTGTCAGGTTTGTGATGCTTGATGCGAAGGTCTGACCAATGTTGCTGGAATATAACTGATTGAAATCTTTTGAATTGATTTCTTTTGAGGAGTCTGCTGAAGTATTTGATATCAAAGTGGCAAGCTGTAATTTTGCCTGAGAGTCTCAAGATGAGTGTTTCAAATTATGAGTCAAATATCCTTTTTGATGTCCTATATCAGTAATTTCTAACGTAGTTGAATCTCAGACCTGAAATGCAAGTTATGGGGTTGTTGATTTGCTTTTTCGCCGCAATGTTTAGTTCAATCCTCGCTAAATGCAGTCTGATTGAAATCAGCGAGTGCTGATTCAATTTGTTTGAAGTAATGCTCTGTTTTTCCCTTGGTGATGTATGATATTTAATTCGAAGGTATGTTTCATAAGGCTATTGATTTTTGTTTTCTATGTTCTTAGTTTAAATGCTTAGTGTTTAATGCGGTAAATCATTTTTTTTGATAAATTTTAAGACTAGAAGTGGAAGTTATAGGGTTTTAAATTGGGATGTTTTGCTGTAAATTATGGCTTCAAGCGTCCTAAATTGCTGCCTGAGTTAAGTTAACAATCCAAGTTCTTTTTCATACTGTATTTCTCTGTTTTCGTTCTCTATTGGTTTATGATGTTTGATGCGAAAGTGTGATCCATGATGCTAAAAATGTGCTCATTTTTTCTGCTCCGCGATTTCATTTGATCTTTCTGGTGAATCATTTGTGATCAAACTTGTGAGTCTAATCCTATCGTTTGTTTCCACTGTTGAATCGAGTTCTAAAGAATAGCTGTTCGAAGGTTGATACGTTTCATTTTTTCTACAGATCTCACTTTTTTTGTTTGTCAGGTTTGTGTTGCTTGATGCGAAGGTCTGACCCATGATGCTGGAATATAACTGATTAAAATCTTTTGAATTGATTTCTTTTGAGGAGTCTGCTATAGTGTTTGATATCAAAGTGGTAAGCTGTAATTTTGCCAAAGAGTCTTATGAGTGTTTTAAATTATGAGTCAAATATCCTTTTTGATGTCACATATCAGTAATTTCTAACATAGTTGAATCTCAGACCTGAAATGCAAGCTATGGGGTTGGTGATTTTACCTTTACGCCACAGTTGAGTTCAATCCTCGCTAATTGCAGTCTGATTGAAATCAGCGAGTGTTGATTCAATTTGTTTGAAGTGTTAATCTGTTTTTCCTTTGGTGATGTATGATGTTTGATTCGAAGGTATGTTTCATAAAGCTATTGATTTTTGTTTTCTGTCTTGCTTGGTGTTCAATGCCGTGAATCTGTTTTTTTTTCTGATAGTTGAATCTCAGTTTTTAAGACCAGAATTGGAAGTAAAAGGTTTTGAAAGTTTGATTTTTTGCTCTAACTGATGGCTTCAAGCCTCCTTAGTTGCTGTCTGACTTAAGGTAACAATCCAAGTTCTTTTTCGTACTGTGTTTTTCTGTTTTCGTTCTCTTTTGGTTTATGTTATTTGATGCGAAAGTTTGATCCATGATGCTAAAAATGTGCTCATTTTTTCTGCTCCGCGATTTCATTTGATCTTTCTGGTGAATCATT